GTTTTTGTTAATGGGGAGAAGTCAATGAGCAGGGCTGTTTCTAGTGGGTGCCCTAGGGATCAGTTCTTGGTCCAACACTACTTAATATTTTTATCAACAATCTTCATGATGATGTAAAACCTTTGCTGGTAAGGTTTGTGGACGACACAAAGATTAGTGGGGTATCAATAATAATGAGGACAGGTTATTGTTACCAAGTGATCTGAATTTCCTGCTTAAATGGTCATAATCCAATAAAATGTGTTTTAGTACCTGCACAGCCAAATGCAAGTTAATACATCTGAGAAAACAAGAATTCAGATTGTACCTACAGCATGAAGGATTCTGGGCTTGGCTACACTACAGAGGCTAGAGCAGCATAGCTAGTGCACTGTAGCTGCGCTGGCATAACCCCATAGATGTAGCCAAATCTGACCTTCTGAAATAAAAAATCATAGTTGATGACCTGGGTTTCATTATCTTTCCTTTTAATTTAAACTGAATCAACCTGTGACTAGAGCCAAGGTTATTTCCTACGACCACCTCTTCTATGATGTCCTCACTACTTACTAAAACCAAGTCTAAAATTGCATCAACTCTGTTAGATTGGTGACCGTTTGATGAAGAAACTGTCGACATTGTAGATAATCATGCAGCGCTGTGGCAAAAAGGACTCATGCAATCCTTGGGTGTATAAAAAGGGGAGTATCCGGCAGAAGCGAGGAAGAGATTGTGCCTGTATACGCAGCATTGGTGAGACCACTGCTGGAATACTGCCTCCAGTTCTGGTGTCCACACTTCAAGAAGGATGTGGGAACATTGGAGAGAGTTCAAAGGAGGAACACAACAACGACCCTGGGGCTGGAAGACAGGCCTTTCCATTGGAGGACCTCAACGTATCCAGCTTATTGAAGAGAAGGTTGAGAGGGGAATTGATCAGTGTGTATAGGTGCTTACACATGGAAAATAGATTTGATAATGGCGGGGGGAGGGCTTTTAAGCCTTGCTCAGGAAGGAATAACTTGAAGCAATGGCTGGAAGCTGAAGTTACACAAATTCTTCCTTGAAATAAGATGCAATTTCCCAGCAGTGAGGCTAATTAAACATTGACACCATCTTACCAAGGGGGGGTAGGGGACTTATCATCACTTTGAGTCTTTAAAGTGACATTAGTTCTCTCTTAAAACAATATGCTTTAATCCAGTTTCTGGGGGATGTTTTGTGGCCTGGGCAGAGGCAGGGTAGATGGTTGTAGTGGAACTCAGTGTCCCACCCCTCCACTCCCCACAACCTCAATGCCTCCCTCACCTGAGCCCACAATCTCTCTTCCCTCCCCAATCATCCACCCCATTTATACCCCTCTTCCCTTATTCCCCCACTCCTCTGCCCCCTGGTATCTCTTCCCTCCCAGGAGGCATTCCCATGTATGTTTCCCTCAACCCCCAAAGATTTTGATTACATTCTCCCCAAAATGAAATTGTCACCCATGATTCACAAATTGTAGCAACCTCTGGCCACTCAGTCCAAAACTTATTTTGTCTTAGATGGGGGCTTATGATTAACTTATCCTTAGTTATACTAATTGAAGGGTGAATTCATAGCCATCAGTCTCAGCGAGGTCTGTGATTTATCCAGTCACTAGTACCTCTCAGTTCAACTTTACAAGGCAGCAGTAGGACATTTTTGAGGGGACCTGTAACTCGAGAACTCCTCAAAAGACCCCAAATTTGGGTCACTAATGCTCCCCAACATCCCAAAGAGGCACACAAAATGCAAAGTGATCTGAGTAACCATTCCGTTTTTAGAGCACTTACAAGAGTTGAGCTTTAAAGCCGATAAAATGGCAGGAATGGAAACCCGCTAACTGTTTTTCTGTATTGGTGCGTGCGTACTGTAAAAAATGCACATTTTCTTAAATCACATTCTCAGTCTGCATCCCCCAAAGATTTAAGGGGTGCCATGCACTATTTTGGGTAAAACTCAACAGATTGAGATCATTCTGCCCTGTATCACTTCAATAGTTTGATCTCTAGCCCTATGCAAAAAAAATAAAAATAAATAAATGTAGAAACTCTTTTAAAAATGGCTATTTTTCTCAGGCCTTATATCTCTTGCACCTCTAGCTCAAATGACCCCAAGTTTGGGTCACTAACTGCACCCAACACCTTCCTGACGCACCCCAAATTTTAAAGGAGTCTGACAAAGGATGTAAATTTTAGAGGACTTAGAAAAGTCAACCTTTTAACAGAAGTCGTGATGCAACCGTCACTATAGTGGCACTGCCATGCCAGTACAATTTCCTGGTTTTTCAGAAGTTTGAGTTTGAAATACATTAACTCTGTATTTCCTGGTTTTTTTGGAGGTTTGGTTCTCACTGAATTTATTAAAGGTTTTTTTTGTTTTGTTTTGTCATTGAATAATGATTATAATCATTTTTTGTGGCTTCAGTTGGTCATTTATAGTGGTCAGGAACAGGGCCGGCTCCAAGCACCAGCAAAGGAAGCAGGTGCTTGGGGTGGCCAATGGAAAGGGGCAGCACGTCCGGATCTTCGGCGGCAATTCGGCGACAGGTCCCTCTCTCCCTCTCCGAGGGAAGGACTCGCCGCCGAATTGCCACCGAAGAATGAAGCGGCGCGGTAGAATTGCTGCAGAAGTGCCACCAATCGCAGCTTTTTTTGTTTTTGTTTTTTTGCTTCGCCGCTTGGAGCGGCAAAAAAGCTGGAGTCGGCCCTGGTCAGGAAAGAATATTTTTCCCCAATGTACAAATGGCTAGTTGTGTTCTAGGATGGGGTCTTCGTGTGTATGTTTTCCTCCTCTGAAGCATAAGAGATTGGCCACAGTTGAAGACAGGACACCAGATTCATAGATTCATAGTTTCTAGGACTGGAAGGGACCTCGAGAGGTCATAGAGTCCAGTCCCCTGCCCTCATGGCAGGACCAAATACTGTCTAGACC